TCCTGCTGGCCACACCAGTCCTGATACAAGCCAGGATGCCGTTGGACCTCTTGGCCACCTGGGCACACTGCTGGCTCATATTCAGCCGCCTGTCCCATTGCCCCTTGCAGCTGGGGCACACCCAGATACCAAACCGAAGGAGAAGGAGCCGTGTTGTGCACCTCTGGGAAACGCTGAGCTTTACTTCAAGACTGCAATCACTGAAATCTCTCAGACCTTTTATTCTTTATTTTTTTTTTCTTTAAATGGGTGGAGGGAGTGAGTTTCTAAAGCCCGTAGCAAACATGAGCAGCGCCTCTTGGGCATTAAAAAGCTGGGTCTGCCATAAGCCCCGCTACAGCTTCTCCTGAGCGCCCACATTTCTGGGCTGTTACATAGCAGCGGGATGTCCCAAATGGCAACAGGCTCCCTCCACCTGTAACTTACAGCAAGCATGCTCAGCCCAACAAGGGCACCTACAGTTTGAAACAAGATTAAACCCCGGTTTTGGACAGGGAGCTAGAGAAGGGTCCTGTAACTCACAGCCTTTTCGTACGAAGCGATACCTGGCAGCAGTGTCCCCAGGTCCCTATCCTGGGAGAAAGGCATCGCTGGCGTCAGACGTGACAAGCACGTGCTCCCACAGATTTCTGCCCATGTCCACCTTCCTGCAAAGAAACAAACCACCAGCCACCTGCTGGCAGCTGTTCACGCGCTCAGTACATACAGAATGCTCAAACACCCAGACACAGAAATACTTAATTATCAAACTTTAATTCATCGGACTAATCTTACAGCATAAAACAATAGGATAACCAGTCAGGGTTACGCTTAAAAAAATCCAGCAGTGCAAATCTAAGACTAAATATTTGTCATCTCCCCCTCCCCTGAAATAGGCAATAGATTATTTAAAAATACCATTAATACATGGCACTTACATATTCCATTTAAAATAAATCTGCAGTGGACACAAATATTTAAGACTTTTTTTTTTAATATAAAACCCAAAGAATGCATCGCTGAGGACATGGATAAGACACAGTGAGCTTCCATGAGCCACAGAAAGCGAATCCTTGGCTAGAAGGTACAATGGCCGTACGTTTCATACAGGACTTGCTACAGCTCTCCTGGCCCCCTCCTCCCACCCCCCACTGACCAGGATGCTAACTAACAAAGCAAGATGCTGATGACCTAATCCTAACAGGTGGCGAAAGGCTGGAGTACAAAATGTAAAATGAAAACAGTTCCGGGGGCGGGGGGGATAAAAAAAAAAAATCAAGTTACAGAGGAAGAAAAAGTAAACAGGAGGAGGAAAGTCTGGAAACAAACCTCGCTCCGCTGAGCGGGCACACGAGCAACCGGCGCAGGGAGTGCGTGCTGTGCCTGTGCCCGCACAGCGGCATCGCCAGCGGTTGTACAGGAACACCGCGGTTGGGAAGGGGAGAGCGTGGAACAGACCACCACCACCACATGGCACCTTGCAGCATCACTGCAAGTGAATTGTTTTTCTTTGGCCCTTAAAGGATGAAGCGACGGATGCGAACTGTGTCAAGGCTAAAATCGAGCAGGTCGTGTGCGTGTGTTACCAGTTATGACTTATTGCGCATTGTTTCTGAGCTGGTTCTTGGAATTCAGATCACTTCCTCTCCTCCATCATCATAACGTCCTTATTTTGGCTACACATTTAGCATCAGTGTCATTAATGGAAATTTATGATTTAATACTAAACTTGATATGAAAAACTCGTGAGTAATCCAAGAGTTTTCACGCAAGATACAGTCTCCATTCCAACCCAGGCAAGGTTTAGTGATGCACTCCTGCAGTCCTAGTGCAGCACTAACCCAGGAACTGTTTATGCTTGGGATGCACCAACAGGGAGGGAAGGAATACCCAGCTCGGGACAAGGAGGGGAAGCAGCAGGCCATCGGGCCGCATAACGGAGAGCTCGGGGGGCAGCAGGCCTCCTCCCCGGCAGGACAGTGGCGAGGGCGTGGGCAACACCGGCTTTGCTCTCTGGAAACCCATGTTTGCCTTATGGATGCTTTAGTCCCCAGTTAGTAAACCCTGCAAAGCACTCAGTACAACTTCACACCCCAAAACGTTCACAGGGAATTACACATATATACAGTAGGGAATTGGCCTCTGTTGAAAGGAGGTTGATGAATTGTAATGTAATCAAAATAAACTTGTACACAAGAATCACCAGGTATTACCATAAACTTCCTACAGATTACACACCGGATCTCAAAACAATCTTTAACAGCCAACTCAAAGGACTGACTATATTCACACTGTACTCACAACGCTGGTGTCTTACTGAGGACTAATTGCCAAATTCCTCCACAGGGCCATTTGTCATGCTGACCCTGCCCTGGAGGCGACCACAGATACCAGAGAGAGAAATCCAAAGTCAAGCGAGAGGCCAGCACACCACTCCCCCATTGGGCAAGCTGTGATGCTATCCAGCTAAAGAGATGGGGTTTTCTTAACGTTCGTGATCATTAGTTAATATCAAGAATTGCCTTGGGAAAAAAAAAAAACAACAACAACAACAAAAACCACAAAAAACCCTCCTGGCATATACCGAAGATACAAAGCTCCATGTCATTCCGAAAGAGAAAGGATCTTAAAAGCAGTGCTGCTAAGTTCAGTTGGAATATTCATTTCAAAGAACTCCCAAGGAACCTGCTGTATCAAGCCAACAAACACCAATTAAAACATTTTATGTAAGGATCACTTTCCTGTATTTTAATTAAAACTTTGCACATAGAACAAAAAAAGTGCAAGAAGTTCATCTTCCAAATCAAATTCAGCTTAGAAAGAAGAACCTAAATAGGATCACATTCTCTTAGCTTATTTCTTCTCCATGTTTAAAGCTCCTTTGTAACCAATGTTTTTTATACGCAGTTTCTTGCGAGATGATCGATTACATCTGGCACGGGACGCAGGGGAATCGTGCCCTTGGGAAAGGAGCATCAGGGATGTCAAACGGTGCCCCTACCCCATGCTCAAGGTGCCCTCCATGCCTTGGCAGCAGTAGACCAGGCATCTGCCCTCCCTCGGCACCGGCAGCAGAGCGTACTCACCCGGATCGCTGCATCGAGCACAGGAGCCATGGGAACTCTGGGGAGGATCTGGAGCCAAGACACACGTCCCCTCAAGGAGCAAGCAAACGAAAGCGTCGGAAAGGAAAATGGAATATGAACAGACGTACAGGCAGGTCCAGGCAAGCCAAGCAGCAAGCGGGAGCTGATAATCACAGACCAACAAGACAGGGAGTGCACAGGTGCACTCTGTCACTCCAAGTGACAGAAAAAGCCCATGTCACCAATTTTCTTTATACTGTAGCGTGTACGCCTTCCACCAGGCACTGCATTTTAAATTTAAGCCATAACACCAGGATTGGCGATCAGAAAATAAGAAGCGCGATAGCTGCACTTGCAGTTTTGTCTCCAATTAACTCACGGCAACTCCACTGCCTGCACTCGCTTGCTCTGAGCATCGGGATGGGGCTGCGCTAGGGAGCTGACACAGCACTGCTGCAGGAGGAGCTCCTGTCCCAGCACTTTTATGTCAAGACACGCTGCTGGTGGCTTGTATACAGAAAGGAAGTATCTCAAGCTACAAGAGTAACAAGCACATCACTAGTTTATACATAGGATATGAAACGCCTTCAAAATTCATATTGCCTGAATGTTCTAACTGAAAATACAAGTCAGAAGCTGCTTACACTGCTGTCAAGAGTCTACAGGTAAATACGTCATCTTAACACATACCATAAAGTGAACACTTTTCCCAGTCTCTCAAATAAAATTAAAAAAAAAAAAATAAAATAAATACTCATTTGGGAATTTGCACCTGCTGAGCTTCAACTGGGCTGTTTCAAGGAGAGTGAAAAAATGGACACGGAATACATTAAGATCAGCTATTCCTACAAGGCTGTTTCTCCAGGAGTTTCACAAAACATTGAGCTACTCGCCCTGAGCAGCACCAAGCCTACAGCATTAACACAAGAACAGCGACCTGCTAGATGCAGGTTTAGCACAGAGCGAGACCGAGTCAGTCTGACCGCGCGATACAATCTGTTGAGGGCGTGCACCTTTTCAGGACTGAGAGGTCCGTTCAGAAAACCTGAGATAAATGGCACGTGAATCGCTGAGACGGCTCGCAGAACGTCACAAACCAAAGGTGAGGAGCATTATTTCAGACAGGACGAGATGCAACAGCTTCCTGTAAGCTTGAGCAAGAGAAAAGCTGAAAGGGGGGGTTAAATTTCAAAAGATCAGTTGCTGGATAGATATTCTAAATTTGGTAAGGTTCACCGCATAAGATCACTATCCATTTTGAAATCCAGGTCACAAAAGACTACTGCAGTTATTTAGGACCCGAAACGGCATCCAAGCTTCTCTCTTCCCTGCTCCCCCCAGCCCCAAACGAGGCAGGGGGGTCTCTTTGGTTCACTCCCTTTGCCAGACCTGGGCCGCTGCTTCACCCCGCTCATGCCAGGCAGCATTGCGCAGCGCACACCAGAGCTTTCTTTTGCGTCAAACAGGTAAGTGTCATTGCAAGAGCTGCAAAATTATTCCGGACGGCAACGCGGGCGATCAAGAAAATGCTCTGCAAAATGTCGCCCCCCCGGGGCAGGAGGCAGCCCAGGAGCAGAGAGGTATGCAGGCGGGAGGGGAATGACTGGCGTGGCACAAAGGGGGACTGTAAGGAGCACTGGGCCATCCACAGCAGCATTCATCTGCTCCAAACACGCCACACAGAGAACCCACCCAGAGCTTCTAGTATTGGGGAGAAAAAGAAAACCAAACAAAAAGAGGAAAAAAAAAGGAAAAAATAGAAAAAGCAGGGCGTCTTTGGGTTAAAAATAAAAAACCCAACAAAATTAGTTTTGCTACCAGAGAGTTAAACCTGAAATAAAAGGGCCAGCAGAATATGGCTTACTAAACATCAATTTTGCATACTGTTTAAAGTTTATTTTTAAAAAACTGCTTCTGAAATTCTCAGTCACAACCAAGTTACTAAATTAAGTCTAACGCTCATAACTGAAAGATTATGAAAATATTTGTTTTTGTTCAAACCATGTAAAAAATCCTCAATAATACATTGTAATATTTTCTTTTTAAAACTAAATTGGAAGATCAACTCTCAGCAGATTTAAGTGTATTACACACAATATTTTGTGAATTAAGATTTATTGATTTCCATTGCATTTGCTTTAAATATGGTTGAAGCTGACTGCAGAAAAGGGATGGTGAAATTTTTAAGTTAAAAGTAAACTAATGGTGAAAGAACATCACCTCTGGCTTCCATCAATGCCTCGTTTATCATATTTTATTAACAAGTTCCAGGACTATCACATCCAGGGATGTTGGAGGCCTCTCCCAGCAGTGTCCTTAGCTTTGTGTCATTTTCCTGTGCCAGAGGTGAGCGTGCTTTCAAAAATACTGCCACTTTCCCAGCACCGTGTCTTTGATTGCATCAACATATTGAGTTGGTACCCAATAGACCCAGTAGTAAGACGCTTCTGTTGGGCCCAGCTGAAATGCCTGCAAAGTTAAAAATGACAAGATTTACAAACGGGAAACAGAACAGCTTATACCAGCGGACAGATACAGCTCACCCCCTACAAAAATCAAACCAATCTGTTATACCTACTGCCTCCTTCAGACACTTGGAGCATGCTACAGCTATTTGGTAAACAATTAAAAAAACCCAACATTCCTCAGGGAAACAAGAACTGCAAAGTACCAATTCAAATGATGAGCTCTTTCCTTTTACAATACCATAGCAGCAACAAAAACTCTTGGCCAGTTTCAAAAACGTGAGGAAATGATACTGGAAGGCAGAATCTGAAGTGCAACTCAAAGTCTCTAAAGAAATGACCAGAATGCCCAGAGATGAGAAGCCAAACGGGAACTAAATAAGACAATGACTGTGTTTTCACAGTCACCAAAATCTTGTAGCAGTTTATATTCAGACATAATGCCATTTGCAACCTATGCCAGTATAAACAGGAGAGGAGCACCCTGGCACACCAGCAACCTCTATCCTTGCTTTAGGATAAGAGTTTATTGTAGCATCTTCTGAAGAGGACAATTTCTTACACGGGTGATCAAAAATCAAGTCTTTGGACAAAGACTAGATCAGTGCCCTCAGGCTGACAATAATTTTAAGGTATAACATCTCCCCTTTCTTCCCCTAAAGAAGGAAACAGACTTACGTAAAGAACTTAATTCAACATTAAAAGTTAGTTACTGTACTTTGGAAAGCAAGACCCCAACTCCTCCCCCCGACCCAGTAACAGTTTTTCAGAAAATTACATATGAGGGAAAAAAATATTACGGCATCAAATCATTATTTTTTTTAACCTCCAGCAAGGCCTTTTGTTTATATAAATAGAACAGAAACTAGAAATTAAACTAGATGTGGGAAAACATCACTAACATTAAGAAATTGTGAGCTATATTGTGAGTATTTTTACTGTTTTAACACTGCCACAAGACAGAAGGTACAAAGTAACAATGAAGCACTTCATATTTGGGTGAAATCAGCCCACTTTTCCCCAAAGTAGCAGACACTCAATTATGCCACCCAAAACATTTACACCATGACAGCAGACCACGCCCACATTCCCACCTTCCACAACACAAGAGGCTGGTGTTACTATCCATCTCCAGCGTGCTCCATTTTAAAAGCCTGACTTCTGTGTACTTGCATGAAGTAATTAGACTGGATATTATTAAAGTAAAGACTTTACTCACCATCATGTGATAATCCTCATGTCCTTCAATAGGTTCACTCACCACATTTTTAATGGACCCCATAGGTAACTTTTCTGTTCTCTCTACATTAAAATTGATCAAAGTATTATTTCTGATATATGAGGAAGTACTATTTCATATTAATTTCAAATACCACCTCTATTGCTTCCAAAAGCTCCTCAGGTCAGCAGTCTCCTCTTTGGGGGAATTTTGGATACCTGCTGCTGAGGAGCCCGTCTTCCGCTTTGCCACACACCCCACCGCTGATAATTTGATGGAATGCAAAATTGGATCACACAGTTCCTCGCATTTTATGCCTCTGCACCACATTAAGTACTTCAGTACCTGATGCGGGCCTAAACTGAGTGACAGGAAAACCCCGGCTTTATTTACTGTTTCCCCATACGGAACTCGACTCGGACCAGCAGGATTACTCACCACAGTGAAAGCTGGTCTGGGTGTAAGAATATTCAGGACTGACTACCAAGGATTATACTAAGCTCTACAGAAATGACAAGGCTGAAAACTGGACGAAGATAGGCTAACAAACTCTTTGAAAGCCTAGTCCTGGTTTTACCCTAAGGCAGTGCTCAACTGCAACTATAGGAGCACAGGGAAGGAAATATTAATGAGTAAATAAGGACAGAAACAAAAAGAGAAACTGAAAAAAAAAAAGGTTACAATTACACGACAGTGTAACATTGGCAAGCCAGAGGTAACCGAGAAGAAGGACAAAGTACATGGCTCATGGCAGACTTCTGCTGTCTCAGTTCTGTCCTCGCTTCCTTCCAAAGACTTAACTCCAAGATCCTTCCTTTCAGTTCCAGCTTTCAGTGTCAGCCTAAAATTATGATCTTGGATATAAGACAGAGAAAACCATAAACACTAACTAGTTTGTGTGATCCGAAAAAAAGCACCTACCTAGAAAAGGCACACAGGGAGATAAATTTGGTGATGTAAAGACAAATATACTCTGCCTCAGTGCTGTAACTAAGCTGACTCTGAACCACTCCACTCAGACTCATGACATTCATTGAGTAAAATCTTACTTTGCGCTCGTTTAGTATCCTGCAAATCAATTACCCTTCACAGTATCTCAGACAAGTCCATATTATCAATGCCTCTACGTAAATGACACAGAGCAACTGAGAAACATCTGCCTGTACCAAACCTCCAACGACAAAAACCTGCAAAGTGATCTGCGAAGCACGGGGAGACTATGTGGGGGAAGAATCAGTTTCAACTTTCCAGGACTAGCAAGCGAAAAACCATGTTAACACCCAGCTGCTTTTCTTCTAGCCCTTACGCGCTGGCATCTGGCACGAATTTCTCAGAGGAGGAAGGAGTTTTTCACAACAGCCAGCAATTACAACCATTCCCTAGAGGAAGCAAGCTGCTGCTAATTTTGGGAAGTAGGGAAACAGGTTACATGACAGACAGATGACTACAAGAAGAATCAAATTTCACAGCTTAAGAAACACTAATCTAGAACACTTCAGAAATACTAAACTTGAAACTCGTGTAAAAGGTGAAGGAAGAGGATTAATTACCTAAATACTAAGCATTCACTTAGAACACAGTATCAGTAACAAAAAGGTCTCGCTGCCCAAACCATAGAGGGAAAGAAAAACCCCAATGTCTCGCTCCATCACTTAGCCCAGAAGTAAAATCCCTGTAACTGGTACCAACAGAAGTTTTAAAGCCAGGAAAATCTTCACAGTCAAGTCTGTCCTACAAAGGCAAGGTTAAAAACTTCCGAGATTCCTGCTTACTTTGGAAACAAGGTAGCAGCTGGAGGTGCCATCCAAAGCTAGTATTACCATCCAGTTAGGTTACGTTACTGGGACAGCGAGCAAGCGTTTCTATTCCTCTTGCTCATCGCTATAATATTGCCCCATCCTCGTCAAGCTAAAGGAGTGCAGCTTCCTTTGGAGGCTGGGGGTGACCCGAGACGTCCTCAGCAAGGCACATTATCACCGCAGCACTTTCAGCTCCTCCTGGCACCGCTCAAGACAGTAAACCAATTCCTCCACACAGCAATACATGCCATAGTTTCTACACTGGTACCTCACTGAAACAAGACACCCGACTAATTTTGGTTGGAAGGACAGATAACAACAGAAATGCAGCACTCCTAGTTTTAATGCCGGTCCTAAGATTCCCTTTCAAATCTTTGCCAAGTCAGGGAGTGCCTATGTGATGTTGGCATCAAACTAAAGTTTATGAAGTGCTTCTGAGATATGCTAGAGATGCCAAATATTATAATTTAGATTTGGAACTATGAACAGCAGATTGGAACATTAGTCCACTGGCACAATTGAACTCAAGTTTTTCAAGAACAGAAGTAAAAAAAAAAAAAAAATCAAGTAATATTCAACATTCTGATAGAGCAGCATTTGAGAAGAGGAAGCAAAATTTACTTTTGAAGTATTGCAATACCAGCATTACTCCCTAAACACAATCTAGATACACCAGAAGCTATTTCTAGGTCACTGTCCTGGTTTTGGCTGGGATAGAGCTAATTAGCTGGTATGGTGCTGTGTTTTGGATTTAGTATGAGAATAATGTTGATAACACAGGGATGTTTTCATTCCTACTGAGCAGCGCTTACACAGAGCCAAGGCCTTTTCTGCTCCTCACCCCACCAGTGAGCAGCTGGGGGGGGTAACAAGAAGGGAGGACAGGACCAGGACAACTGACCACAAGGGTATCCCACACCATATGGCGTCATGCTCAGTGTATAGAGCTGGGGGAAGAAGAAGGAAGGGGGGGACATTGGGAATGATGGTGTTTGTCTGCCCAAATCACCGTTATGCATGACAGAGCCCTGCTGTCCTGGGGATGGCTGAGCACCTGCCTGCCATGGGAAGCAGGGAATGGATTCCCTGTTTTGCTTTGCTTGCTTGCATGGCTTTTGCTTTCCCTATTAAACTGTCTTTATCTCAACCCATGAGTTTTCTCGCTTTTACTCTTTCAATTCTCTCCCCATCCCACCGGTGGGAGTGAGGGAGCGGCTGGCAGGCGGGTTGGTTGCCAACCAGGGTTAAAGCGCAACAGTCACACGATTCATTTATAGTCTAATTACCAATTATTCACCTCAGAGTTTTAGAATTGCTCACCTTTTGTACCAATCCATAGCTGGTCTTGCTCAAGTTTAAAGGTCAATCTTACTTTCCCCCCTGACTTGTTGTACATGCCAGATAACGGCACTGTTGGCAGGCGCTCCTACAAAGAGGCAACATGGTAAGGTGAAGGACTTTAAGAGGAAAAGCTCTTAGCTTTTTAAGCGCAAGGATGATCCATCTTTCCAGTTTTGTATTACAACAGCAAGGAACAACTGAACCAGCAAAGAAAGGTCTCAAAACACAAAAAAAAAAACTTCCGATTATAACAATTTCTCAAGTACTTACTTACCTGAACACCTTTAACAGAAGGCATCACATCATCAGGTTTTCCTTTATCCAATACTTTTCTGTGTTGCTACAATATAAAAACAGAAATCAGAATTCACAGAAACGCAAGAGAGCTTTTCAATTTACTTCCAGGTGCACCCTTGACCACATCCTGATAGCACTGAGAGAAAGTTAAGGACTGTTCACAGTCATTTATCACACAGGAATCGGTTAATTTTCAAAGCTAACCAAGCACTTTCTGTGTCAGTCTAAAGAAATGATGTAAATGAGTAAAACCCCAAAATAATGCAAAGGGTAACATCCCTCCTAGAACATAAAGAAACAGGTATCTATAAGAAAATTAAAGAACTCTGAGGTAACATCATACATGCTAAATCAAGTCATTGGCATTTGGCAAGATGCTTTAAACAGCTGAGTATTATATCCAGTGGATGGCAGAAAACCCTCCACATCTGACAGCGCAACGTACCGCAGCACAGTGCCAAACCAGAGCACCTTAGGGCAGCAGTAGCTAAGAAAACCATGCTCACAGCTCGTAAGTTGCTGAGTACCTTTAAACAATGATGGAACTTACAGCGAACATGAACTACGATAAATTACAGAAAAACAAAAGCATGTTTCAGAAAGGCTGCAGTTCAATGATGCACTATTTCATTTTTAATCAAACTTATTTTGAGAAAGGTAGGGGACCGGTAATACCTTGAGCTGAAAAATCCCTTATCAGGCCCACAACACTGCCACCAAACCAAGCCTCATGGCACTGAACTTGGTTCCCTATTGGGAGCCAGCACTTCAAGATGCAAGAGGAATATTCGACATCCATGTTCCCTTCAGCGCTGGGACAGCTGAAGGAACTACTCTCTTGGTGTTCATTTTAAAGGCAGTTTTTGGAGATTAAAATCTTCTATGCCAATAAAAATTAGCTATCTTTTAGACATAATTAACTTAGACTGCACTTGAGCAAACAACCATGAAGCATTTCTGTTATTTACCATTTCTTGTCTGAAATGCTAGGCTGTACCAGGCACCAGCAACAAGCCCCGGTCTTGCAAAGCCCCAGCCTCTGCTAGGCTAAATGTTTTTCTGCTGCTAGAATTCCTCTGCACAGAGCCCTTCTTCTATCGCTTAATTGTAAGAAAAGAAACCCCAGCCTGCTCTGAGGAGGAACAGGACCCAAAGGTGACTGCAGAGTGTTACAAGAGAACCGCATGAATCCTACAGCTCCCCCGCGCCAGGAATTATTGAGACATCAATAACCTTTTGTCTGCAAAGTGGCTCCTTTTTGTTTTCTTCAGCTTTGACCTCCTGTTGAGAAGCTTCTTTAGGTGTATTTACTGCTAAAACATCATTGATAGTAGAACCAACAACCATTATTTTTGCTCCGTTTGTTACTTTGATTTCCCGCAACGTTTTCTCCTCTGGTAGAAGTCCCTTGAACATTACTTTCTGCATAGCAGGTGGAAGGCCTAAGAGGCAAGAACAACGATTACCAGACCACCCGACTGCAGCGAGAGGCGGCGTGGGCTGTGGCGGGGGCCCTGACAGACCTGTGAGCGAGTGGATCTTCTGCTTCAGCTCGGCCCCCGTGCTGTCCAGGCAAAACTTCACGTCGTACTTGTTCTTGTTCCAGATAACCTTTAGCTCCACCAGCTCCTTCC